ATCTATGTATGAAGTTTCCTCATCAAAAACATAGCTAGACTTGTGTTTTGCATCATTCACACATTTAACACACAAACCCTGCATATTTAGACTGAGTTTTTCACTCAAACAGAAAACACTCTGTTCTACCCTGTCATGTCAAGTGGTAATACAAAAAGTGCTGCACCGTGTTTTTAAACTCCATACACCATCGCTAGAATCAGCCCTGAAATTTCCAGTCTTTGCTGAGCAAAATGTAAAATGTAGCTGTTGGCTTGAAAACTACAACTACATCACAAGGTGGAACAGAGCATTTTGAGTTTTGGAAGTTTAGGCAGACTAATTATACAGGGTTACTCAAATGTGTGAATGTAGCAAAACACAACTCCAGGTATGTTTTTGGTGAGGAAACAACATTTTAACATGGCTTAAAGCTCACAAGAGTAAATTCTGTGTAATGTAAGACCTTTAACCATAGTTTTGAGCTTGTGTCCAACTGTAAACGCCCATTGCTTTGTTCCTCTTTAAAACATCTCCACATTGTTCCGAGTTAACACGTATTCACAACTGCACTTATCGAATGATTCATAGTGAACACTTTAAACAATCAATGAATAATGTTCCTTTGATGAGATTGCAACGCCTATTTCAAATGCATTTTTTCTCCTTCCTGTTTTTTCCCCTCATCTTCTTTCTCTTCCCTCCAGCTTTGGCAAACGGAGAGTTATTTTCATTCACCATAGCAATTCACAGAGCAATCACAGGGAATATGCAATTAACGCCAAAAGCCTTCAGTCAATAATACGTTGTGTGTACCCCCCACCCCTCCCACCCCTGCACACACCTCCTCCGAGCCTCCAGTGGGCTCTTCTGTTGAGTGCCTGCTCTGCTTTCCTCCTCCATGCTTAAACCTGGATCATCACCAAAAGAGCTCCTCTACCCTTTCTTTCTGTCCTCATCGCACAAATCATGTCTCTCTTAAGCACATCTCATCAGGCCTCATCACCGCCATTTCCGCCCCCTTACGTCTCCGTTTTTACAGTAAACCTCAGACCACCTCCTCCTGATATGTTGACTTGCTACACCCCCAGTTTCCCCACTTCACAGCCCTGTAGCATCATTTCACTGATTTCTTTTTTTTTATGCTTCTTTCTCCAAGCATTTTTTCCTCATTTTCTTCTCTCAAAACGACACAAAAGTCAGAATATATGCCAGTGTTCTTTCAAACTGTTCTCTTCAGCTTTGCACCAGCTTTGACTCTACTGGCGTGCTTCGTTATCATAGAAGCCTGTTCACATCTTGTATCTAGAAAAAGTAAACTTATCAGGGTTTATGCCCCACATAAAGTGTAATACAGTAGACAGTGAGTTGTCACACCCATACAGCTGGAGATAGAGGCTTGTCCTGTTGGCTTTTATGTTCAGTATGACATCGAGGATGTGTGGACCAAATTCCGTTTGTCTACTAGAAATTTTTTTCAGCCCCATAGGTGGCTTCACAGAACAGTTTCAGATGTTTGTTTTTTTTCTCACAGACTTAAAAAAACATTTTTACCAGACTTGAACGTTTTGTCAAATAAAATCTATTTTTTTTGTTTATGTGTTTTCAAATTTGAGGTGGAAGAGGCTTGTATTATAATAATGGGAACTGATTTTCAAACCATTGTTTTTTTCTTTAAAGTAAAACCTAGAAATGGGCCACATTGTTCCCCATCACAAATTAGTCTACTGTAATTTTTTTCACAAGTCCATAACAAACAGATTTTCTTTCATGATTATAAAAAAATATATATATATATAACTTCAAAAATTGCCTTGAGCATTTTGATACTGGTCACTGGCATGTTCATTCTCGTTTACTATTTGATGCTCCAGACCCAGTTTTAATTAGTCCCTCACCGGGATGATTCTCATACCTTGGCCCGGGCCTAATAATAGTGCATTTTTAATATAGTGCTGTTTTAAACACTCAAAGATGCTGTGCAGATGGTACAATAATTAAAAACGGTTCTCTCTCATAAGTACTATTGGCCAATATGGATGATACAGTATTTGGCCTGTTGCTGTGGCCTATAACTCATATTGGTCGATGCCAATATTTAGCTTTTAAAATCCATAGCAAGCCCACTTCTCACTTTACAAAAAGTAATAATAACATTTATCCTATCTCAGATATAAAATTGTTTGTTACATGTTTGTGTAAACATGCAATAATAACACTTTTCTATTTCCATATCTGCTCAAGTCTCAAGACAAATCTGATTCACTAGGGACATTCTGGGAGTGACACATGAGCATACAGAGAATGGGCAGCTTAAAAAAGAATGTCCATATCCAGTATCAGTCTGATCACCACTCCCTCTGTCACGCCTTGAGCCAGGCTCAAACGCGGCTGTGCAATCACATTTGTTTATTTCAGTGATGTATGTGAAACAAATGAGGTCATTGGTTGTTTGTCATTTTGTACAAAATGAAATTTCTCCCACCTCAGATGACTAGAGTTATCTGAAATCTGTAATGTTTTTCAGTCCCTGTGATATTTATTTTGATTTGGCTGAACCATACTGAATCAACATTTCCCTGATTGGCTATACCACCTGCTAATTTACACCTGTAAATTTGCACAAATGCTGGTGAAACTTGTGAGGCTGAGAAACTTGGAAAAGTATCCAGTGAGTATATGACCTGCAATGTGAATGTAGTCCTAGACTTAGACCTTGTTTAATAGCAGTGGGTTACTTTATTTGAAGGAAATAGCTTGAAGTATAAAGTCTTACACACCACAACTGCGAAACACTAATTAGAAAGTTTCTGCCCAGATCAAATCAGCAGGTGCCTTCAAGGGCATTTAAAGTCACAGTGGACTTCCTTAATTGCTCTAATGAACACAGTCATAGGGAACACTGAAGCACTGAGCCAGATGTTTGCATTCAAAGTTTGTGGAGCCAGCAGTTGTTTTGCTCCACCTTGAGCTGCTCAGATCCTGCTCTTTGCCTATGGGCTGCAGTGCTCCTCAGTGCCTTTGTTTGAGCTGGTGTTGAGCTGGTGTTGTTCAGTCTCATTGGATGTACAGCCCTTGTATTCTTGTGGATATTTATTCCATATTAGAATTTCTGTGTTAATTTATTTAGAACTATGACCTGATTATGCATATAGTGTTAATATGCAGCCCACCTTCTGCTTGTTTGTATGTGTATTGTCTTTGCATGCCTCTAAAAGTAGGCACTGTCTCTTCGGCTCCCTCCCCCCCTGGAGTATACATATGACCACTAGATGGCAACCTTACTGCACTGCTGCATGGATCAGCTCAGTCATTTTTGGCTGCCTGAGAGGATGCTCTGTAGGGGACCTGTATTTGGAGGTCTATTCAACTCGACCTCTGACCACTTGCGCTTTAGCAAAAAACACACATAGAACAGGCTGGAAATGAGTGTCTTTCTCACAGTTTATTTTTAATAAATGTATGTAAAATGCCTTAAGTACCGGAGCTCCAGCTCCAGCTCGATGGATGACTCACAGTAATGCTGTGAAATGACTCCACCCACACAAACACACATTTGTGAACTCTGCACCTTATGCACACTCATGCACAGAAACACCCAATACGCACATCTGGTATACCTGTATTCACATGATGATCAAAGTATACACTCAACTTTTTTGTGTTATGTTTGTAACAAGATGACTGTTTGTGACAATTCAATTTATGCCCGTTCAAGCCATTTTTATTAATAAGTTTATGTTGGGAAATAGATATATTTTACAAAACCATAAAACCATAAAAATTATTGTATAATTATGTATAAATCTGTTCAGCCTTTTAAGTACTTACACCACAAGAGGGAACTACTGGACTCAAGTCCTACATGACAAAGTACAGGTCATTCAGTCAATGCCCATATTAATATTTCATTTTTAATAGGTTCAAGTTTAACATGGCTCAAATTAGTAAACACCTTTGTTTTAAGTATATATTTATTTTTTATATGAAATGTGGTGTGTTCAGAATCTAAATCTATCTGAAACTGGCCTAATGAGGATGTGCACTGAAATTATTTTCCAGTTATAAGCTTTAATTTAGGTTATCTCAAATTTACTGAAGTGAAGTGGACCAATTGGTCGGGCAGGTTAAATCTCTGTGTTGTTGGTTGTACTGTAATCTTGTTAGAGTGATCTGCTCACACCACCACGGCCTGAGATCAATAACTGGCTTGTGGTTGACTTTAGGGTGGCTCACACAGCACTCCTCCACAGGTCCTGACACTCCGTCTGCTTCTTAAATGACTATCTACGCTGGTTTAGAAATGTCTTCAGAATTCTTTTAACTCATGATAAGGCTTTACTGGTCTATTTCTGTGTCATTGTTTACATGATGTGGTCTTTTAGATTTTACTTGTAGTTTCAAATGTTTTAGTAATTGTCCTTATGTTTAATGATCCATATATCTTGGTTCATATAAAGCCATCTAAGCCTTTTGCACAGTACTGTTTTTGGCATGCATTTTAATTGAGCCTGGTAGTTGCTTCCTTGCTTGATGCTTTCTGTATCATCTTCACATCCCCTCCTCTCTTTCACTCACCTTGTACTGTGCCGTCTCTCTCTCTCCCTCCTCGCTCTCCTCCTCTCCGCCGGTGTTGCACGCTCAGTCTTCGCCAGCTCGCCGAACTGCGCGGACCTATACCCCCGCATCTCATTTAACCGTTGCTTTTGCTCAATCTCTTTCTTTCTCTTCTCCTCCTCCTCCTCCTCCTCTGCTCTCTCTCTCGCTCTGTCTCTGGCTATGACAGCTCACACCGGCCACCGCTCGTCCCGTCGCGCATTAACATGGACAAGTGCATCTGGGATATTTGCGATTGATTCCTTGCTTGTTCTGGTGTTCGTAGGAAAACGCAGCAGAAAGAAAGGAGGAGGGGGGCCGCCAACCTCCTGAACCCCCCCCTCCAAGCTTCCCCCCTCAACCAGGCAGAAAAGAAGAAGAAGGCTTTTTAATTAAGCCAGCTTTGGATTTATTGAACTAGCAAAATGAGGGATTTGGGAGTGCTAGGGGAGATGCCGGCCAGGAGAGGACTGCGTGTGAAGGCAAGGCTGAGACACGACCTGCCGCTTCTCCCGCTGCTGCTGCTGGGGCTGCTCCTCGGGGCTCTGTCACCAACAAACGGTAAGTTCAAACCACTCTTAATGGGTATGGAGGGGTACATCACAGCAGTTTGTGTGTGTGGTGCTGGGAACAGTTAGCTGCCCTCATCGCTGACGTCTCTGTGTTTTAGCATGAGAGCTGTTGGTACACGCAGGGAGTTAGCGCGCTTACCAGGAAGGCTTTAGGAGACGATGGATCACGTCTCAAAATGATGAATTGTACTCAACTTTGAAAGGGGGTACATCTAGTGAATAGTGGAGGCATTCTCTGTTTAGGACTTGAGACATTAAACACTCTGGTCTATTTATATCCCATTGAGTTCATTCACCACCAGAAATAGTTTATCATGTGTTTGGGTTGAACAGTGTTGGCTTTTCTTTCAACAAAACTATTTTAAGAAACACAATATGTAAAAAACCTAAAAAGTTTAGAGTATTTTTTTCTCATGGAATGTCTAACAATTGTCAAAACTGAATTTGAAATGTACTCCTGAGCTAGCTAAATGAAATACATGAAGTGGCAAAAATAAAATGGTGATTAAATAGATGAGAGAGGAGAGGGTCATCTGGAAGGCAGTGATGCAATGTTTTTTCTCAAAAATTGTTTAAGAAGGATTACTAGAAAGAAAAAAACAAACAAAAACTTTTGGTGTAATTAAACAGTCACTCATTTTTCATCTAGTCATGGAATGCATAGCTATCCTCAAAAATTAATTTGAGTTTCTTCTGTGTAACTTGGACTTGATGGTGAATAACAATTAAAATAGTTGAACAACATTTTATTCTATTTGTCACAAACCCAAAGAAAATGTTTGACCATGTAGCTTTCATGTATTTGGAGCCAAGATTCCTCTGGAGATGAGTAGTGTGAGTGGATGTGATGGTATGACAGGGCACTGATGCAGCGTGTCAACAGCCTGTTTGCAGTGGTGACGGAGCTGGCATGGGCAGTCTGATGGGGAGATGGAGGCACAGAGGATGGGCATGTTAGCAGTCTTCTCGTTTTGTGTGAGTGTTATCCTGTTTATCAATAGCGTCTCTGTGTGCCCCATCCCTGAATATGCAAACCTGTCAGATCCTACGTCACACTGGGTCATAATGGGCAGTGTGGTTGAGAAAGATGCACTGGTATAAAGGAGCATTTTGTATATACCACCGTTTATAAAATGAATTCCTGGTATGTCCGTTGTCATCTACATATTGTCTGTATTTTTTCTTATTAAGGAGGTTTAATGTACATGCTTACTAAGTAGAGAACTTTCTCACATTATCCTTGTACTTTATATTCTAGTGTACAGCTAATTATTGATTTTCCTGAAAATGTCACTTAAAAATGTCAGGGATCTTCAGACATGAACTGAAGTGCAAATTCAGTGCCCAGTGGGAAAGTGGATGTGGGAGAATGTTAAAACTGCTTTTTGTATGCATAGTTTGTCAGATATAAGTTCAAAATTTCTTCATGCTATTTGAAAAGCTTCTTGTATATTTCTACCAGCATTGCTAAGCTTGGTATTTGTGTCTTGAGTAGCCATAAACAGTATTGTAATTGGTTGTTAAAAATGTCCATGCATCCAACTGTTATAATGAGTTTGTCAGCCCCAGCTTGATACATTTAAAATAGATATATTGTTGAATACATTCAACAGGAGCAGAATACCAGCCATTTCACATCCAACTCTAAACAAACATAAACAGAGAGAAGAAGGAGAATAACATGTCTGAGAAGTTCACTTCAGACTCCCCTTGGGGCTTTAAAGCCATGCTTTAATCACTTCTCCACACAGACACACTGGAGCTCTCTGCATTCCCCTTTAATGGTCTTTTACAGTAGACACTGATTAAAAGCTTTAAACATGTTTCTGTCTACTATATGTAGGAGGCTTTGCATTGTACAAACACTCAAATGCATCACAATTCTGCAGAACAGGAAAGACTATCCTCATGCAGCAGTGACAATTAGCTGACATTGAATCAATGCCAAACAACAAGACAGTGGAAGTAGCTGTCTGTCCCCTGCCTGGCATACTAATCTGTCACATATGGGAAAAGTCACACACACTTGCACACACACACACACACACACACACACACACACACACACACACACACACACACACACACACACACACACACACACACACACACACACACACACACACACACACACACACACACACACACACACACAGTCCTGGATACTCCTGTGGTTGAATATGCAGCTAATTATAACAAAAAATCTTACAAAATGTCTCTTTAATAACTTAACCAAGCAATTGTTTGTGCTAAACTTTAAAATACCTCTAAAATATAGTTAATTAAGTCATAAAACAGATTACTACTTACACTACCTACTGTATTTATGCTAGTTGTAAGCCTGAGCCAATAGGGAGGGGATATGGCATAAAGTCAATATTGAGAAATGATCAAAGAACACGCTGTATACAAACTAGGCTCGTGATGCTAAAGAAAGTAACAGTATTTTAGTTTTAGCTGGCCTAGATACAGACAGAGCAGTGAAGTTATAAAATGCAGAAAAACTAAACTATGTGAGAAGAATTGGTAAGAATAGAGAGAGTTAAGAAGGCTGGATGAAAGATGGGGACAGTGGGGAGGAAGAGGCACAGACAAGCAGCAGGGGTAGTCTAAGTGGAAGAAAAAATGAAAATGTATTCCCCAGCAGACGCGATTAATCAAGAATGACTTCTCCATCTTGTGCTGCTCAGCTAGTAATGTCTAGCATTAAGTAATGACATCATAACTCTGTCTCCTCTGGATTTATATATGTGAGATATAGTAGGGAATTTCACCAGTCTGACCTAAGGCAGGCACCAACAGGCCACTAAAGTCTACTGATATTAATGTATGGCATTGAAAATCTCCATACTTGTTGTAAATACATGAGTACATTAATCAGATATTACAATTAGATGGTGACACAAAGGACATGAACGAGCATGTATATATCAGGAAAACTGCATTACTGACACCATGAAAGAATATACCTGACCTAATGGTATTTTACTGCGCATTACATTAAGCGCTGTCTTCTCCAGAGCTTATGTTTTCTAAATGTGTAAACATTAACTTCTGCATTTTCACTGCCCATTGTCTGTATCAGCACCGTCTCCAATCATCCATCATTTATACTGAAAAAGTCTAATTTGCACATTTGATGCATGCACTGGCATTGCACATATGAGCTGAATGTGTTTAACGTGACTTGTGCCGCACAAAAATTTAACATTAAATTTTTTTTCCCCTTTCATCTGTTTTTGTCAGTTACAACTTGATATGTGCTGGGGTTATTTCATTGCACTTCATACTGTGCTATGGCACTATTTTTTTCAGACAAAGTTGGCTGGTTTGAGTGCAGTTCACCATTATTGACATTATTGTAACAATGTAATTTCTCTTGTAGTAGCACGACAGTTGCCCTTGTAGATCTGATGCTTTAGCCATAAGACAAGAGGCTGTACTCTGGTCTGAGCAGTTTGTTGCTGTTTGCCTGGACCTCATGGAGAAGGCACCTTGCTGCAGTGGGAGATGAGAACTATTTCATAACGCTGCATTACTCAGCTGTCAATGCCAAAAATAGGCATGAAATGAAGCACTTGACTGGTGTTTATCAGAAAAGGTCTGTTCAAATGTATGACATCCATGAAAACCAATATCCAAATTTAATTTGACAAATTGTGCAGTAAATCAAGCCTTTTTATATGGATCAGATCATAAAATGCAGTTAGATTGGAAGACACGGAGTGCCTGTGTACAAAACCACCTTTCTGCTCAGTAGACTTGTTTCTGCAGCTGCAAGACATTGATGATGTCTCTTATCAAACGTGTTCATCAGTTTTTTGTGTAAGCGTATTTATTGCAACAAAGTGATTGCATAGCTCTATCGAAGTTGTATAGTAGTGCATTTATTATTTTTTAAACTACATGTATTGTTTATATTAACAAATGCCATTATTTTGTGTCATTATATACTTTTAAATTTGAAAGTTATTACTATATAGTGTTTCATAGCAATGTGTTGAAACATATGGCAGAAATAGAAACACCACAATGTGAGGCTGGACCACCTCAGCACCTGCTGCAGCGGCTGTGTCAGCACATCGGCTTTATTGAAATGAAAAAGGCTTATTTTTATGTTGGCCTCAATGTAAGAGGACTACTTATGGTGTCATACCCCTGGGCTAGCTTACAGAGAAACACTGACAAAAATAATATGGTGATTAGCAAGTCAAGAGAGAAGAGGGTCATCTGGAAGGCAGTGGTGCAGTGGTTTTGCTCAAAAGCACTTCAGAAGCGTTATTAGAATGTACCCTCTGTCTAATTAAGCAATCATAACTCATATATATTGGTATTAACTAATTAAAGGGGCTATGTCGTTAATGTGCAACCTAAGTAATGTTGTTATTTCTGCCATGCCTTACACTTAGTATGACATTCTTTACAAGCTGTGGGCTAATAGCTGGCTAGTGGGCCAACATTAGGGAGCCTAATGTGTCTACTAATGTTACATTAGTGTTTCTTCACTTCTCTCTTCTTCTGTGGTTTAAGGGCATTGTGTGTCAGAGTGAGACTGCAGCACACCTACTGTATGTGTATGTGTGTGTACACTCGCTCTACATATGGAGCCAATGAGTTACATTTCCATTTCAAAGCCACGAGTCAGCAGCAGGAGAAGCTACTTTCATCCATTAATGTGATTTTAGGGAGAGAGTCAAACAGTGAACGCACAGACAGAAATGTCCTGCTTTATAATAATGAATCCTCAGGTTGGCCTATTCTTTGTTAACTTTATTAGCACCTGTGTTGGACAATACCTGCCGCTTTATTAGCTGTCACTCCCCATACAGATAGCGTCTACTGTAGGACTTGTGAGGCCTGCAGAGTAGAATTACCTCATAGGGCATCTGACTTTGCTGGAGCTTGGTGGAATGGTTGTGTGTGAATTCTCTTTGTGTTAAAGTTAACCCATGCCAGGGACTAAGTAGACGGACAAATTATGTTAGAGGT